CCCCCCCCCCCCCCCCCCCCCTCTCCTTCCCACTTTCGTGCGAAATTTCCTCTGCCGTGCCCCGACGTCCCAGGTGCTGACGATGTCTTTCAGCATGACCTTCTTGGCGGAGTGGGGGGACCGGTCTCAGATCGCGACGATCGCGCTAGCGACCAACAAGGACCCGTTCGGGGTGACGGCGGGAGGCGTCATCGGGCACTCGCTGTGCACGGGCATGGCGGTCATCGGGGGGAAATTGCTGGCTGCGCGGTGAGTGTGGTGGTCGTGGTGGCGGTGGCGGTGGTGGTCAGGTGATTGTGGTTTCTTTGACGTGGTGAGTTGTTGTTGCCGCTGTTATTGTTGGTAATGACGTCATTTTTTTTTTGTTGTCCCATGTGGTTGAGCGCATCGGCTATCAGAACGGACATTCTCTCTCTCCTTTGTTTCATGCGTCGTTCCCTTTTTTTTTTTTCTCGAAAATGGACATATGCCGTCACAGAAAAGACTCAACACATCGTTCGAGATATAACTCGCCTCTTCTTCCCTTTTTTTCCTTTTTTTTTTGCTCTATTTTTTTTTTTGCAGGATCTCCGAAAAGACCGTCCACCTAGTGGGGGGAGCCTTGTTCCTGGTCTTCGGTTTGCACGCCGTGGTGTTCGGCGAATAAAAAAATAAAGAATTATATTAAATCAAGTCTGTTTTTCTTCAATACTTTTTTTTTTCTCCCATAATTGGATTCTGTCGTGCCCCTCTGGCCCCTATCGTCCACTTCTACTAGCTAGACGACTCAACCAGGGTACACAGGAGGGGGGGGTTGGACCCCCTCCTGCGGTTCCTACCGGAGATATTTCTAACGCGAGAACGGTACAGCAATCCCTTCCCTCGCGACTTATGAAGTCGATCAAGCTTACGAACAACGCGCTTTGAAGCGCGTCGCTTCCAACGGAGACCAGGATTCAATTAGTGAGAACAAACTCACTCTGTCGGGACTCGAATCCATGACCTGTACGCTGAGGATACGTAGTACAGATGGCGCCCGCACTTAAGAACCTCTAGTTTCGGCCGAGGCTGGGGTTCTTATTTTGCTGATCAATCTCTTGTGGGCTGGCTACAAATGGCCGCCATATAGGTTTTAGTGTGGGGTTCTTAAGCGAGCTCACAAAGGGTGCTCGAGTTCTTAGCTTCTGATTTTTTGCGAGTCTCAATTTCTCAGCTGCTAAGTTTTTATGTGCGGGCGCTATCTGTAGTGCTATGTAGTGTTTTATTTGTATATTGTTTCTTTTTGTTGCCTGTGTAATTTCTTGGCTGGCTAGTGCAAAACGGGTATTTTGTCCCATATAGGATTAAGTACACCGTAAACCGCCTCACGGCTACCTACTGGGATGAACCAACTCCCCAAGCACATTATTTTTTTTTCTGGGATGAACCAACCCCCCCCAAGCACGGTGATGTGTTGTTGGCATCAGCCGCCCAGGCACGACAAATTTTTGTGCTGCGATGACCCCCAAAACGCGGTTTTACGGCATATTTTCTCCAAGCCCGAAGCACAGCGAGGACGCCCGACGAAAGAGTGCGGAGACGGGTCGAGCCCAAAGAGGGCGCCGCCCTGTCGTTTTGCCGGCTCATCGCTTGCGGCGGCAGATACGGAGCCCGGTTGGCTCTATTCCGTGCGGGGGGATGGCAAGCGTCGTTTCGGTAATATCCAGCGTGACGTTGTTTGCCGGCGTCATGTGTGTGCTGCCTCTTTTTGGCTCAGTTGCTTGTGGATCACTCTTCAGTTGCTCCCCAGGATCATGTGTGTTGCGCCTTTCTGTGTACGCACCCCACGGGGCGGTCGGTCTCGACTAGTCGCACGACGAGGCCGGTGTGAGGAGTCATCAGTGCCAACAACCGAGTCTGCACACCCATGTCCCATGTGTACTGTAGCGGTGGCTCTAACGTCATACCGGGTTAGGGTAGTTCTGGGGAGACTCGCCAAGGCAATGGTTGAGGTACCGCCGAAAGCGGGTTATTTCCTCCTGAAGGGTCTCGACGGTGTTGTTGTCCAGCCAACGATCGGAGTGAAATCCCTTTCGTTTTTCATGTCAGTGTCTTGTCGTTCGTTGTTTTCTTGCTTTCTCCTTTTCCACTCGCCCCCCCGATGGTGTTTCAATCAAGCAGGAATTCTTCCTTTTTTATGTTCATGTGCGACGCATGCTTACGTGCGTATGCTGCTGAGAATCAAGAACCGGCAGGTCTTCACGAGTTTCTTCGCCAGGATAGGATTTGTGTCACATCCATCTCCCCCAAAAAAGGTCATCATTTTATTTTTTATTTAGTCGCAGCAGAAACCCCAATTTGCAATGTAAGGGGAAAAAGTATGTTTTGTAGGTGATTTTGGTCCCATCTTTCTCAGCGTACAGGCTTAACAACAGACTCAACAAAGTCCATTATCACGATCCGGCACTTGTTTGTCTCTCGGCCGTCACGACTGTCTTGTCAAGACCTTCCAACACATTGTTCGAACGGACCCGCACGGGTAGTGTTACTTTTTATGTTTTCACGTTGCATTTCTGCTCAAGTGGAAGCAGTGGCCGTTGGCTGGTTCGGGTTGTGGCACCGCCGATCCGCGTGTGACGGCTCGCACCGCCGCGCCTACACACCAGAACCCATCTCCAAAGGACGGAATTTCAACGGACGCTAGAGAATGGACATACTGATGGCCGCCCTAGAGGAACAACTGCCTGCCGTGTTGTCGGAAGCGGAAGCGGTTGTTACCCCCGCCTTTCTCCCGTTGTGCGAAAACAAAGCACCACCATCCTCTCACTAGCAAAAAAAAAAAAAAAACGCTGCACTAACTGGCGCGCCCCAAGGATCACCAGAGGCAGCCTCTGCGCACGGCGCCACTCTTTGAAGCCCCAGCCAACACGCGGAGACTGATGGCTTTGGCACCGGACAACAGTCGCGCGAACAGCCTTTCGGCGGATGCTGCACGAAAGCAGCGCGCACCACGCAAGCATACCACAAGTCCATCGCAAGCCAATCAACGAATGGGGGGCTGGGGAAGCAAGTAAGTCAAGGATCGTCGGCGCGGGTCTGTCGGTAGCTCTCCATACATACGCGCACGTGTTCCTTCCATCCGCAAACAGCGCAAGCTCAATTTCCAACGCCCAAACAAACCACCTAGCACAATCCCGCTTGTGTTCAATGCTTTACCCAAGCGCACCCACCAGCAGAACGGTGAATTTCACCACCTCTCTACTGCGTGTCGTTCAACATGTAACGCACCGAATAAATCTCGAACGTTCCAAGCACGTTCCGAATCTCCGGGGAGACACGCTTTGTCCCACACCCTCGCACAATACTTCACTTACCTCCCCGCCCGCCCCCCGAGACGCCGCACGTTGCTTGCATCAAAACCAACCCCGCCGGCAGCTAGAACCCAGAACTCCTACCCAATCTACAGTCCCATCAGCCGCGAGACTAAACAAAAAGCGGGGTCATCATCACGTGCCTACAAACCATTCCGCTATGAAGTACGCAAGTAACATCTAGTAGCGGGGCTGGTGCTGAGGCGGCGCCATCGGCGGCAGCTCGTAGACGGCCCAGCGTCGGTTGTGCTGCTCCCCCGGCGGGTTGGGACCCGTGCACGCGAGGTCGGTGCAGCCGCAGGCCTTCGTCTGGAGGTCGCCGCACGGGCGCTCGCACCTTTGGTGCAAAACAAGATGGGAAAAGGCAGCGGTAGGGACACACGGGAAATTAAGCCCACGGGAGAGCATCGCGGATGGACAGACGGGAGACACGGGGATTGACACGAGGGAGACAGGGGAACAAAACAAAAGGGAGAAAACTGTAATAAATCGCAGAAAGAGGAGACGGGAACAAACAAAACGGGAGACACGGGAATAACCACACGCGGGAGACATGAGAGCAAACACACGCTGGAGACATGGGAACAAACACACATGAGACTGGCACTGACACACGGGAGAATCGGGAACAAACCACACGGGAGACACGGGAATAACCACACGCTGGAGAGACGGGAACAAACACACAGAAGACACGGGCACTGACACACGGAAGAATCGGGAACAAATCACACAGGAGAAACGGGAAAAACCACACACGGACAAGCTGTGGCGCATCTCAAGCGGACTCGATCCTGCTTCATCCTTTGCGCGCAGCACTAAAACATAAACATGCCAACCGTTAACGTTCATAGGCACATCAACAAGCTAGGAAAAAGCCGCGTTGATACCAACGTCTTGCCTATTTGGGAAAAATCGATGTTTTTTCTTAACCCTTTTGGGTGTTCCAACGTCTTGCTTTTTGGGGAAAATTCAATGATTGTTAACTCTTGGGCCTTGAGGAAGACGCACAAAGCACACACACCCCAATGCGGTACAGGAAGCGGGTTGAAAAGGCGGGAAGTGATATCGGTAGGACAGATAGACTGGGAAAGAGATTTTTGAGCCACCTTTGGCAAAGTACGAAGGAACGATTGGCCATCGGTGATCGGTCCTGTTGGAACAATGCTCCGTCCTCTCGAGGACGCGTGGTCAATGGTCTAACCGCTAAGGCATGCAAAACAGAAGAGATAAGATTACGCCCCCCGCCCCTCCCTCCTCCCCCCCCC